TATGAACATCATGTACCCACAATCACCATTGGTAGTTGTCAAAAATGGGAGCCTTAAATCGATACTTCTTTTTAGTTTCATTTTCGCCTGTTAAAACTACACTTCTAAAAGAATTTGCGTGTTTTAAACTGCACATGTATACGATAAGTCAACATGCGATCGCCTGAATAGCCTCGAAAGGGTGGATCTACAGCTAAGCAGATCTGTTAGCCCCCTACTCTAAATATATTTCAGATCGCAACGAAGAAACAGCGGACGTGTAGCGCTGACAAAACGGTTTTGAGTGCGAATCTCGGGAGATCCAAACTCATAATATGGCACGACTTGTTGATGTTGGCTAGTACATCAGGAATGGCCACTTTGGTATCCATTCCGTTTTTCGGTTCAACCTTATTAACACACATATATATGAATGTATTTGGTGGAAGAAATTCGTTTGGAAGTGCCAACAAACCTAATTGAAAATTTTAACCTTTCGCAGCCTAGCTCGGCACCAAACGCGTGGAACATGTACAGAACAGTGAGAAGTATACACATGCCGGAAAAATCGATAAGTACTAGTAAAGTTTGGTGAATAGCAGTTTTCGTTGGTTAAGTAGTAGTTCGGATGGGTGCCGTCTTTTCCAGACTTCCCTGAAATTGGTGTAGATTACATCCAGTTCGACTTGTCTATTAATTAACTAGTGGTCGGAATTAATGCCCTCTAAAACTCACGGCCGTTGGTGCATGAGCCAGCAATGCAAGTTTCGTTCTATGCGAATGTGTGCTCAGTTTCTAATGTGTGCATCTTGACATAAGAGGAGTAATTTTGTCTCTTTACCGCTACTTGGTTTTGTTTTAAACGCGTAGAGGCTGATTTTTCTGTCTGTCCACAATAAACTGTGTAGTAGACACCACAGAGATTTCATAGTGTGGTCGATGGTTTGTGCGCCACTTGGAGTTGGTGCTTTCTCAGGTGTCTTTTAACGTGTTCAGGCACGTCCTCAATATCTGGAAGTGTTCGCCAAATTCCTGGATTTAGCGCCCGAAAAAAACAGATATTTCGAATGCACATTACAGACTCCAGAACTTCTTAGTTTTCACGAAACAGTCCATGGATTTCTAGTGTGAAAAACTCCCTTCACGGGTGCTTGAATGTCTAAATGACACGATTACTCATGTTTCCGACATCGAAAAACAGAAAAGGAGATACATTTTAGATAAGGATTGGATAGCCATTACCAAAAAACCTTATACAAGCCTGACCTGCTCAATGAATTAAACAAACGAATCATCGACAGATCTCACAACAACCAAAAAACACGTGCTTTCTATGGGAAGGAAATGCAACCTTGGCAATGCAAAATATGTAGACTACCTTGCAAGTTCCGGGTTCAAATTATGAACGGAAAATGTCACAGACGATGAGTGGTTCACAATCCCAAATAAGAATGTGCGTCTCCTTAAGGACTGACCTCCGTATTCATTATTATAACAAGAAGAAATGAAACCACTAAAGGCTTTCAAGAAGGAGGAAAACATCTTCATTGTTCCTGGAGATAAAGGAAGCTCAGCTGTTATCTTGCACAAATCAACCTACCATGCGACGATGCTATCATTGCTAGAAGACAAGTCAACCTATACACCACTTAAAACGGACCCCACCAAAACGCAGGATGCAGCTATTGATAAGGTTCTTAAACGTCGTACGAGCAAGAAGGACATAGCAGGAGCCAAACCGAAAGAAACACAGCTAATATCAACGGACGGTCTTATAAACACAAATCCGACTTACCACTACGTAAAATGGAATCATTAATCGGCACGCCTAGTTATAAAATCTCGAAAAGGGCTATTTCGAAAACTTAACCCATTGACTAGAGATTGTGCAACACCAATCAACAATTCCATAGAGTTTCTGAACACAGTGCAAGGCTTTCAGATAGCAGCAGACGAAACATTTGTATCAGTTGATATTGTCTCTCGCTCTTTACATTGATTAACTTAGATTTAACAAGGCAATACACAGCAGAGCTACTTAATTCCTACTAAATGGACATTCAGTTATCTGTTCTGCTTTAACTCTTGCATCTCTGCCTGAAAAATAATTTCTCATTCGCACGACAACACTATCAACAAATAAAAGGAGCCCTAAAGGTGTCAGCCATTTCGAGCTTATTGGCTGTAGTCACGGTACGAACGTAGAGGCTATGGTCCTATCAGTAGTTAACCCCAAGTTGCGGGTATGCTATTTCGACGGCACTTATGTCAATGTTAAAAGGCGCCTGCTGCAAACACTGCACAACATCATTTACTTAACGATACCACGAATCACGTTTACGCTCAAAAAATATTGACAGGAACCTCTCAATTCTTGACGTCATCATACAGCCTAATACTGACAGAGTATTTCAAACATCGATTTACCGCAAAAAAGCCTATGTGGATGTTATTCTACATTAGGATCGCAATTAACATTTTGCTCAAAAGCGGCGCACTGTAAACACCCTAATCAATCGAGCAAGAACGCGTAGTTCAAGCACCGAACTCTACCAACGCAAACTCAATTACCTGATCAAACTATTTTAAAAACAGGGTCACTCCAGGTCGTTTGTGCATCTGTGCATGAGACAACAGGATTTAATAAAAGAAAAGCAACTAGACTGTTCCGATCAGACGCTAATTCCAAACAGTTTGCAAACACTTTCACATATTGAGAACGTACTGAAATTGTTAAAGGACACCGGAGGAAGCAGCACCTGGAAATGGCACACAAGCCAACGACCACACTGCCAAATCAGCTTGTAAATCCTAAGAATAGGCCTCGTCCTTTGAATGGAAAAGGAATCTTCTGCAAAATTCCTTGTGGTGGCTGCAATGCAATTAACTGTGGACAGACAGGAAAACCAGCTCCGACACGTGTATAAGAACAACAAATAGTAGTAAAGAGGCGATATCACATGATCTAAGTCGCAAGGCATACAGTAGAAACTGGGCACACATTCGCACGTGACAAGACTTGCATTATTGGCTCTTGCCCATGTAGGAAGCACTGTGAGTTTTTAGAGACCCTTAACTCTCATGACTCGTGCATTAACAGGAATGTTGATTTGGATGTGATGTAGATCAATCTCATGGAAGCCTGTTAAAGACGGCAATCAACCCAAACTGAAGTTCAAACAACAAACCTTGCTATTGACCAAACCCTTGTAGGCATTATCGAGTATTTCTGGTATGTTTAAAATTCTCCCTCTTTGTACATTTTCCAACAGTCTGGTGCGCCAGCGCCTTACATTCACAATAACGTTTGTTATTGCTTCCCAACGAACTTCTTCCACCAAATCATATTTCTTGGGATTCAAATTCTTTAATATACTTACTGGTAGATTGGTGGTCTCCAATAGATTTACGGAACCCAATCGTCCACTTTTGTGTTGCAATTCGCCCTCCAAAGTAGCCTGTGGCCTTCTCACTGTAAGCACACATTATAAGCAGGCCTATGTGACCAGCGAGAATTATGAATGGCTGTTAATGGGGCTCGATAGCGAACCCATAGGCACAACGTAGCGAATGAGTTCAGTGCCGCCTTGTGATTGACAATATACCAGAGAATGCATATATGTTCACACTGACAAGAAATGTAAGAGGTCTTAAGGATAATGTTGGACTTAATCTCCATGATTATCAAATAATTTGCAGAGCCATACATTTTTATTACAGATACATATTGGCTAGAATTTGAACGCCCTACCCAAGGATGTGTCGTCGAGTATGACGCCCGTATGCAGGTAACATTGATGGTGGTACGTGGAAACACCAACTCTGTCTTTGGGAGCACATTACTTTCTCCTGATGCCCACAAAAATTAAAGAAATATAAGTTTTCTTCTTGTTCGCTCACAGCGGATTTTTCGATGTCGGTTTTGTAAGATTTCTCGAAATGACTGATATTTTCACCATACAAGATTACTTTCTTTAACTTAAAGATAACAACGCAGCTCCTGTTGCTGCTGTATATTAGCAAACATCGTTCTTCTCTGCCAAGTATAATTTGGTCGGCCGATTAAAAATTCATATTTTGTATCCATGACCAAGAGCGAACGAGCAGCATTCCATATTTTTTCTATATCAGCATAAATACGCACTCTTTTGATGACTGTAACAGAGTTGACTCGTAATTTTCTGCCTAAACATTGGCGTAACCCGTTTTCTGCGAGGGAAATTTGTCTTTTCATAGGACTTTGTATGTGCTGTTTTAAAAAAAATTATTGTAGTTACCTAAAACACGCCGTTCAGTAAACCAAATCCGTAGTCGAATGAACCGCTGTTAAATGTCTGTTTTTTTCTTGTGTTCTTGTCCGTTTACAATTGCGCTTCGACCGCTTCGAGGGGAGAATGTTAACTAGACGCAAATAAAATGCACTCGAGGTTAGAGGTAGGGTGGCTACAACCGTCTGATGCAAACACATTTTCGCATTAGTTTTGCAGTTAATTTATCGGTTTAAGCGGTTGTGAGTTAAAAACAAGCAGGCAGACCTACCCAATTAGGACATTAGCCACAGCACGCGCAAGAATGCGTGCAACATGGCGACATATGCGAAAAATCGATACCCTTTCGCTAACTGGCATTGAGTGAGAGAAGAATGCTGTATGTAGAATAGAAAATCCTAAACTTTCAGCAAAAAATGGTTCCATTCACGAAGAGCAAAGCATAAGGTAAATAAGGGTAAAGGTAATGGTTAAAGGTAAAAGGTCATGTGATACTCAATATTAAAATTTTAACCGATATCCACATCTATTATAGAGACAGCTCAGCTTTCAACTTCTCAATTTCCGCATCTTCACACGTGAAGTAGCGTGCTAAGAATAGGAGAATGGAGCGCTGATATGTCGATTCACGGCAAGACATATGACGGAAGCCTCGGCGCATTGCACGGAAAGACTTCGCAGCCATTATGTCAGAGTGAAAAGGGTGAGCAACCTCACTAAGGATGTGATCAGCAAATTTCTTGACCGTTCTAAAGTAGCAATATAATATAATGTCAGCTAAAAGATAGGAAACACTGGCAGCTGAAGAGAGTATTTAGAGGATACGTTTAAAAGTGACCAAGTCTTTTTTGACTTAAAGCTGGGAAAATAACTGGAGAGCAGTAAAGAATGAGGAAGAGAATGTACGCATCTATAAATCGCCAGATTAGGGCTTGCGATGTGCGATATGAACGCAAGCGGCGAAAATAAAAGTTTGCGGATTTTAATAAGAATGCCTTCTACATGAGAAGCAAATGGAAGATTGGATGCTAAAGGAACAACGAGATATCGGGAAGAGGATACCTCGTTGGGCAGAATGTCAATAGTTTCAAGACTAAGAGAGGGTTGCAGTCGAAAAATACACTGGACTGACTTTCGCCCCTTAAGTAGAAGGCCATTTGCTGATGACCATGTTGAGACGTGGTCCAGGCCATCTTTCAGTACTTGGAGATCTGTTGGACTTTTAAGAGGACGAACAACAACCATATCATCAGCATATTTAATAAACGAGCATTCATTTGGCGATCGTAGCTCGTGAGTGTGGGGGGAGAAGAGATGAAAGGGTAATACGTACCCTGGAGAACTCCACAGTTGTTGGGAAGGACCATGGATTTTCGCTTGCCGCACTGAACGAATTGAGTGCGGAAAGTGAAAAAGTCCCCAAGCCAAGATGCAGCCCAGCCAGGAGAGCCACATGCAGAAGTTTTATTGAGTAGAAGATGGCCCGGGGTGGTAGTTAAGGCTGCGGAATAGTTGAGAAAAGCACATCCGTATGCACAGCAGCCATTATCAAAACCTGTTAGAGCAGAAAGGACTACCAGAGCAACAGCGTCTAATTTACTGCACCTAGCCTTATACGCAATTTGCAAGGGATTGGAAAAATCGGAAGAAAACGGCGTGACTATGCCTAAACTAACTCATTCTGCAAGTGTCAATAGTGCAAAAGAGCAGGCAATTGGACGAAAGTATTTTGGATCAGAAGGAAAGAGTTTCTTCAGAAGTGGATTGATTCTCACTAATCGCCACTCATCAGGAACCTTGGACTCCATGAAGGACAAGTTGATGAATTATGTGAGTGCACGGGCTAACTGAAAAGAGCAGGATTTGAGGAGAAACGGTAAGGTTTCATCTGGCCCGGGAGCTGTTTAACCTCGAATCTTTTTAAGATATTTTATCCATGTTTCCAAAGACACAGGAACAATGACACTTGATAATAAGGAAATGGTATTTGTCGGGAGATGGGGGTCAGTGGAGCGTTGATGAAGTTTGCATTTAAACGATCTAAGTCTTAGCCAACATCTACATGTGCTAGTGCATTGCGTTGAGCAATAAGACGCTTAAGACTTAAAATTTCACCCAAGGAGATAGAAGAGGAAAATGTAGAAGAAGAAGAAGAAAGCTGACTAAATAAAAGGTCGTTCAGTCTGGAAATCTCACGCTTTCTTAGTCTATCTCGTAAACCTAGTTTGTAGAACAATTCCTTTCGGCGTCTCAAAGTTTTTAGATGGGGAGAAGAAATTTTGTCAGGTTTAACCATTACAATGTCAAGAGTACAACATAAAGTACACATTTTATTTTAAAATTTGCAAGAAAACTGGATCACGACTAGACGTCTGAGTGTTCAATAAGGGCAGGAAGGCTTTCAGATATGACGTTCTGGAGGAAAAAAATATTATGACCCTGGGTCAGCATCCGTTACCGACGGCAGAAGCTACGGCTATCAGGTGGATGAAGCCGGCATTGTGGGCAAAAAAGAACCTTCTACAAGCTCCGCGTCAGGCGTGGCCGACAATCACTAAGCGGCATGCACTAGTCCGCGCTCTGGTTGTTTCCTCCTCTCCTCTCTCCTCTTAACGAACCTTTTTTTCAGTCCTGCTCCTTTACCCAATACTCACATAGTTTGGTCTGACTAAGAGCTTTAGGGGCAAGACAATCGCGTTAATAAGGCGTCAAATGTCCCGATGTTGAGAACCTTCAGTCGACGCCCTCATAACTGACGGAGACAAACGAGGCCGACCATTGCAATGGTCACATCCCTCACTTCAAAACTCAAGCTTGCAGCTTCCCACCTATCCGCAATGTTCGTTAAGCCTGCATTGTAGGAAATAAAAAAGATAGTGGGAAGCATTTAAGTAGAAATATTTGTTTTATACAGTGGGCATGTGCAACAATACATTGCAGGGTCAAATTGGCGCAAAATACTCAAACATAGGAAACCTCAGTTGTCTCGATCTACTTGCAAGGCATCTACTCAACAACAAGATCTTAACTCCTTTTGAAACAGCTTGTTCAGGAAAATGTACAAAAAGAACTTTAGACCGTAGGCTGTCAGAGCGAGGTTGGTGGTTATCATGCGGTAGACGATGTAGGTAGGGCAGTGATGAAACGCGCCGGCAGTGCAGAACCCGAAGACTTGAAATATCCGCTGGTAGGACAGAGCCTGTGGGATCTCCCCGAAGAGGAATAGCAAGATCACAGCAATTAGGAGGATGGTGAGTTTCTGTTGGGCAGCCTTTTTCTTCTGTTGTTGGTAGTTGTTCTGGGAGGCCACACCTTTCGTGCCATGCTGACTAGCGTGACCCCATTTGTGGTGACCATCGTGAGGGCCAGCGGCATCAGCGGGTTGACCACTCGTCAAGGGCACATGCTTCTGTTGCTCTTCCGGCAGCGTGGATTCCGCCTGAAGGGTGGTTCGACTGCCAGACAGTAGCATGGTCTCATTGGCCACCTGGGTGTCACCGTCGCGTGAGCTCTCAAAACTCTCCGACTTAATGACCGGCTGATTCATACGACTCTGCATTTTCAGGCTCTGTGACCTGAATCGGCTGTTGTGCTCGTAGACCAAAATGAGGAGGAGAATGTTGGAATGACAGAGAAAAAAGAGGGGAATTATTTGTACAAGAAATATCCGCAGCCACGAGAATACGGTGTAGAAACTGGAGTCACCGAAACGCGTTGTACTGGAGAGGATGCGCACCGCGCCGTTGCTCCGTTTTTGCACCTGCAACTGATGTATCATAAAGTAGGGCAGATTGAGGATAACGGAGATGGCTGTTATCGCCAGGACGAGTCTTTTGGCGTTTTGCCGATGACAGTACTGCTTGGAGAGATTCCAATGCTTCATTGCCACGAAACGTTCGATAGCTAAACTGACGGTAAGCCAGGCGCTCATGTTCTCGGACATGTTGGTGATGGGCACCTCCACGTACGTAGCGTAGATATAGGCGTAGATGGCAATCATCTTTTGTGTCATGGAGTTGCCCCGGTAACTGCATGCGGGAAAACACAAAGCCAGACATATATGAGCGTGTTCCTCTCTAATTTAGTAAAAACAAAGATATCATAAATACATCAGAAAGACACGAATCCATACACAGAACGATATAAATGGTACTTATTTTAAAATTATGTGGGCCATTCTTCCACCGGAACCAGTTTGGTAAGGCATAATGTCAAACAAATATACCTCAAAATTTATCTTATAGACAGATTTCTGATTTCCACAGGGAAGTCGACATTATACCAATGTTAAACTGCGCCCACTTCTGAGCTAGACCCCTCGGAGCTGTGTCAAGCAGCGCAGGTTATCGGCAAAACGCGTGACTAGGACTTTTAGCTAGTACCTCGGTTGTTAGTTTATTAAGATATAGTATCAATATGTACTATTTCAGTCTGCTCGCTGGCAACATGTGTATATTAATCATACCAAATATACAAACAATTGCAGTCTATGTATATAGACCGTAAATATTCTGATGTAGACCACGCATAGGATTACATTCTTCACGAAATTACAGTATGAAACTTGGGGGCTCTAGACCAAGTGCTAAGGCGAAACGTGACGAGTACATACCAAAACCAATAACTGAGAATTACTCCATTCGGGTGAATATTCCTGGTGGAAACCGGCATAGTAATGATTCCTTGACTCAACTGTATGAACACTAGCGTTCCATGTACGAGGTTGTGTGGTCCCGTTTCCGGCTGTGCAGAACTTGGGGTTGGGTATGACTGAATGGTGACGCCTAACAAACGTCCGTTGATTAACATCAAACAACTTAAATACGGACGTTTTTCTTTCTTCTTTTGGTCCTTCGGAAGAGGAAATTTAAATATGTATTAATGTTCATTACTCTTCTGTACAAAAAAGATAATTGCTCGCGTGAATAGTACAGGATACCTTACAATGAACCGCCGCCAGTCATTTCGCATAAATTATAATGTGCCTAAAAGTGGAGGTTTTAAATCAACGTATCGGTGAAAAATAAACGGAGACCATAATGTGACGTCTGCAGAAGCACAGATTCTTGTTCAATATTGGTTGATTAATAAAAACTTTCGTACTCTTTTCCTCCTATTCGAATAGAACTTGCCAAAACAAAGCAGACTGGTGAGAAACTGACGTTATTAAATTCGCTAAGGGATGGACATTCGTAAAATTGGTTTTTGCGACCATGGACTTAATCTTTTTTTAATTTATCGAATGCTTATCTAGCATTTTTTCCGTATGCCTGCGTTCAGCAGCCTTCCAACAGGAGGGGAAAATAATGTTATTTCTGGGAAGGTACAATTGAAATGGAAATGTGTGCACTCGGTGCTATTTTCTGAACCATAAAGGAAGTTATGCAGCACATGGTTCTATTACACAAGACAAGGCGCATAGTCTTTAACTGGGTTGTTGATAGCTAATTCTCGATATATCTTTTTCAGCTTATGCGTGTGACATGTATTACTGAGTGCCTGCTACCATTTTTACCTGGTGACCTTGAACTACCTCTAGCCCTCGGCTTGTTTTAGTATGTCCTTAGCACTAAAAGGGTAACATTAGGATATTTTCATAGTTGCCTTTTCGGTTAAATGCACAGAGGTTCATAGGAAGTCTTCTCGAAATGTACAAACCTGTTAAAAGAAGAAAGACCATTCATTGGGAAAAGACGTATTTAATACTTAAAGTTTAGGATAGTTTTCTTGTCTCCCCACCTTCAGAGAACGAGTACCCTGGTTCATGGTTCTCGCCTTATGCCGTTAAGCCAATGTCGGTTGAGCCGCCTTGTGTGTCTCGCGTCTCACTGTCGACCGACTCGTTGATCCTGTCGGCCATCGTGTTTGTTCCGCACCCACTTCTATCGGTGAATGCTCTCTCTTCTACTCGCCTAGTAGGCGGACTTTCCACTACTACTATTACTATTAAAATTGAGCATTCTGCTATAGTTCAGTTCACTTATTTTGGAAGCTATGTCGTTGTGCAATTTTGAAACGTATTCGTTTGCATGCATAATTTGAAATAAATAGAGGTTTTACTCTAAGGCAACATGGAGAAACCGGACTTATGCTTGTATTGCACAGCATAAACACGTGTGTATATACTCCCTGATGAATGTATAGTGGCAGTTAACTCTTCGCTTTTACTTTTAAATATTAAAAAACTAAATATTTGTACAGTATGGAAGCACAAATAAGGAAACGACCATATTTCCCAGTCTCGCATTTTTAGGCTTCTGATGCACGAGACATACCTTTTTTAAACGTGTATTACCATTTCCATGCTCCTGTTTTCATATAAGGACTCCAATTTGTTGTTTCAACTATGGCTGAGATGGTAAGCTCATAAAGATGTTCGCAGAAAACCAGAAAAATTGCAAAGGATGCCACTTGATGCTATATCGTCAGAAAAGGGAGCTCTGACATGGAGTGGATCAGTTGTTGGCAGACGGCTTAATCGCAAAAAAGGGGCTTCGTTTCCCCAGGGAATCAGTCCTGCGTAGTAAAATGAAATAATTCACTCGTTGCACTGATTACAAAATCAGCCGGCAATAGACCTGCGTGTTTGGAGAAACCAGTGTTTGACTTCAACCAAACAACCAGTGCGAACCAGCCGGCAGCGTACAATCCAGGCAAGGGCATAGTTATGTGTTCACAAATAGGTGGTTTACATCGCAACCCCTGTAGCCAGCCTCAGGCGCTGAAGTTGCGTTGCCCCCCGACTGCCTAGTTGAACATAATTAATCAATCCGGTAATAAAGCTTCGTAATACAGCTTTCCGGACTGACTTTCAGCCAGCTGATAATTTGAGGTAGCTTCTGAGTTATGCGTAATGTTTGATTAAGAGATTTGATGCTTGAATCAAGCCCCTTCCGCTCCCGAATAAAGTCCTTTACTTGGGTCACATTCAATAGAAGGACAGTCAGTTTACAGTTTACAATAGACATAAGCGATTTCTTAAGAAAAGCTGTGAAAATATTATTTTAGGAATCGTCCACGCCTGAAGTACGTTGGGGAAGTTCTCCTGAATGACTGCTCACGATGTAAAATTGGCCATAATAGTAGGATCTGCGTGTTTATCCGGGTGCAGTAAAATAAAGAACATTAATACAACAAGTCAAAACCATGTAAGAAGGGTGTCGGTGAATATTTATCAGGCCGCGTCTAACTATATCTGATAAAAGGCACTTCCGAGAGTACTATGGTCCCACAGATGAGATTTACGGACAGAAGGTGAAGTCTTTTGCTGATCTTAAACAAGATAGAAAACGTTTTATGGAGCAATTTTTAATCAGACTTTGGACCATTGTATAAAAGGGCTCTGGTTCGCAAAATACTGTTTACGTAGGCAAGAGGACATGCCATAAGAAAATGTGTAGCTCTTTTGAAGGTGGTCCGACTATTTAAGTCTGTTACGTACAAAACTCAATGGGTGTTGTTTGGGTCCCCTGCAAGACTTATAATGCATAAACGGCTGTTGTTTAACGATTATGATGTGTGGTTTATGTATTTCTCCTTACATTATGGACTATGACTGCTTGTTTGATACAGTTTCAGTTTGCAGTTTCCTCCGGCAAAGAGGAAGTCACCTCACGGAGAGTGCTCTTGCAGAACTGATGCTGGAGTAATGTCCTAAAAATCTAATTAAGGAGTAGTGAACACCTAACAGACAGGGCTACATAAAGAGGCACTTATTCTGAGTTGCAAGAGCCTTCACTAAACATAAAATAGACGGCTCACTTAAAATACACAATTTTACAACGGCGGCGCTCTTTCAGACACTTAACAGCGTCTGTGTCTGCTTCCACATTAGGAAAGAAGCACCCAGTATGTAGCCTGGGCAGTACCTTTGGATAGACGCCAACTATACCATAATGGCTCGCGGTTAATCTGCATGGGAGAATTTAAGCTGTGAAACGACTTTCAGCGAATCAGTGTTACATCCAATTCGTAGCATGAAAGACACTGGAGTTTTCTGCCTTTCAGATGCATTTACCATTTACACAAACTACAGTGTAATCGCAAGGTACTTTATTGCGTGTGTCTCTGTGTGTGCCTTTATAGCATCCATTATCGTAGTACTTCTGCCGACTATAGTTCGTTATCAAACTTCATAAAAAAAACTTTCACGGATAAGCTTAACAGAAACCATGCTAACACTGACCCTTCTACTTTATTCACAACATTGGGCAGCTAAGTGAAGTCCTCCCAGCAAGGTTCGTGGCCGAAATCCCCCAGCCAAGTTTTCTCAAAATACAACTGAAAATATTTATTTATATTCAACGCAGGAACCCGTCATGTCATTTCCGTCAAGCGAACTTTCAGGCTAGAATGCTCCTGGTGTATCGCGCATGGAAAAGAAAAGGTAATTGCGTCCCAAAAAGTAACATTTTCTCCGGATGAACATCGTGTCTGCTGAGAGCAAGTGAATTAGAAAAAAAAACTTTGTGCGCACGTATTAAGCCAAAAAATGCACCAACTTAAGGACACTTTAGTTGGAGCCTGGAAATGCACGATGTAAATGATAGCAGGCTTTCCGGCAGGACAGCATTCAATTTGCCTGAATTAAATTTCAACTTCAATGATACACCTCGTGTTCTCTTAATATGTTTTTTTCCAAACATAATTATCAATTGGAAAAGGCATTAACGAGTGAATAATTGCGGCTCCATTTTGGAAAACGGCCCGTGAACACATGGCGATTCCCTACGACAGATAAGACAAAACAGGGCGGAACAACTTGTAGATAAGATCCGTCGGCGCCAACAAATAGCCGGCGTATTACATCTAAAATGATAAATATATTCGCGATTATTTCTCGTATGCTTACATTTGATCGTTTACGGACCAAATTTACTGCTTAAATGTATCTCCTAATAAGGGTTAACTAATCTACGATATAAATGTTAAGTAACTTAGTTGAATATATTGCTTTCCCTCGTAGAGTATGAAGACTGCTGCTGTTTCCTAGTTTAATTAGTCGGCGTTTAGCGTCTAGGTATCTTTTCAAAAAGTCTTCAAACATTAAGGTAATTATTATATAAGTTTGCGTTAAATTGTCAATACAAACGAAAGTGAGAGACTCAGGAAGTCAATAAGAAGAAGCAAACGTTCGTGATGCTGTACCCACGGCAAAGGGAACTCATCAGCGAGGAAAAGGAGTCGTTAGTTGTCATAGGTATGAAGTATCACAGCTAACACATCCTTTAAATACGCCAATTTACTTTTGTGCGAAGTACCCATAGCTGATGCTCTCTTTATTTATGGGTTTGTGCATGAATCTAAACAGTCAAGAAAATGCATTTATTCTTCTTCTTCCAGCAATTGCGTCTGCTTCTTCTCATGTCGGAGTTCTAAGAACCCGTATGTAGTCGCACAGCAAGTAAGATGACAAACAGAATGGTTTGGGCGAAAACAAAAAAGGAGACTGCAATAGCAGCTTTGTTTAACCATCTAACTACTGCGCCATCGGCTCGTTGTACTGCCGTTTTCAATTGTGAATAGGAAGAACTTTATTTAAGCCTCACTCCTTCTGTTGCACTAAACTGATGTTAAAATGAATCCAGATTTTTGTTTTATTTTTAAAAAAATACACTAAACTACCATGACTAAACATTTCGGTCGAGGAAACCACAGACTCACAAACCCGTTCGTTGCCCGAGGCTAACAATTTGTTGCCATGATTTTTCAGGAAAGATGTCATTTTGTGTCTTTTCAGAAAATGACCTGAAAGTACTCGCCGCCATGTAGCCCAAGGGCATCAAACGCTGAGCATTTGTTCATAACTAAGCCAAATGGAAGGTAGTATAAAAAATTTTCTAGCTTCCTCTTTCAAGGACAGAAATTTCCGAAGACATTTAAGTAAAGACGGACGTTCATAGATTGGCAATATGTGTATTTGAAGTAAGCTAAATTTGACCATTGTGTCTGATTAGAATACAGTTCTTAAAAATGCACTGAAACCCTACTTGGCGTCAAATTTGTCTTCTGTAACTTGACTGGTTGATCGTTTAAGGAAACGCTTATCGGTTTCGCCAAAATATGTATTGTATCCTTAAGGGAAAGCGTGGCCATTGGTTATCAATGAGGTCCCAAGCGGAATTTCACTGTATCAACCACTGACCGGGGCGTGCTGTTTTGGCGTTACGCGACTATCGCCTGACCCAATAGGTAAGCCTGAACGTTCTGTGGGGATATCAATAGGCTTCGAGGCCACCTTTCTGTGCCCGCAGAATGCGGTAGACTGAAAAGTACACTAAAGGGGCCTAAAAACGTATTTTATCCTATGCTTAAACACAATTATTAACTGAAGATCTAATTTCAGATCAAAATCATGCGCAGTCAAACGTCAAATAGCTTGGTCGGCAGAATCTTAATATCAGGGTTAAACAACTTTCCTTAAATTGATTGTAGGGAAATAGATTTGCTCAATCCTTATAGGCAATTACTATTCTGTCTATCGGACAAATCTATTGCTTTTGAAATTAAATCACCCCAGGTTGCAGAAAATTCAGATAGTTTTGAAAGATAAGTTAGACCTCCGTTGACTGATGTGTTTTCTGCAGGGCTGAAATAGGGCGGGAAAGGAGTTTTGAATTTATAATAAAAGTTTAGATCGATAAAGGAGCATGTTTTTTCGAACTTACTAAATCATTCCTTGTGGGATGCGTAGGCCCAGCGTAATGGAATCTGAGATCGACAGAGCGAACATCAACAGGTAGGCTGGCGCTGCAAAGGTTTTTCGAGCGAAGATGCAACTATTAACAACGTTGAGCGCGAATCCCACGAGGCAGATGAAGGGTTGAACGTAGACATAGCCAATGGATGACAAGCCTAGGGCATATTCCACATCCGGTTTTAAAGCTGGGACCGAATGAACCGACGAATTGTTGGCCATAGCTATTTAAACATCTGTAAGGGTCAAAGCCATAAATTCATCAGGCCTGCCTGTCTACACACCACACTTGTTAAATTACTTTAAAAACAATTACTCTCACCCACCAAGTATTACAGCATTTGGTACTTTAAAGGAGAATACAGGTACCCGAAGACTGCCACTTTTTAAGAGTAATAGAAACTTATTGATCAGGTACAAAGGTATTCTTCTAGCTGCATAACACGCATTATCTGCCATTAATTATTGCTTAAATGAAATGAAAATTTGGACTATCTGTATATTAAGCTAAAAGCGGCCCTAAAACTTCTCGTAGGTTATGTAGGCTAGCTGCAAGCTAGTATCTTTGTTTGTGTCGCATTGAAGGAAGTTTTTTAAAGGGCAACAAAATCCATGAATACAGAAACAAATGCAAAGCTGTCTCAGCTTATCAGTCCTTACGCAGATACGGATTGGTTGCAAGAATCCTGATCAAATGAAAGCAGTTATTAAACGTTAATGTTCTGGGAATTGTGGATTCTGTAGTTTTTTGCAATTATGAGGGAGAGAACACTTTAATTTTTCATTGAAAGAGCGTATATTAGTTCTTTGCGGTGCACGCAATTAACTTATTAATTAACTTATTCATGGCAGTAAGTTATGCTCATCGCTGAAATGTATCATTAGACTCATAGGCCTTTAAAGCTTGCTTGCTTGGAGATCAGTTAAATGGTCCGATTGGTCACAAAAGGGCATACAGAGATCTCATTTAACTGCACGTTATATATTTAGTATGTAAGGGAATAGCCGTTAGAAAAAAGTGAGATTTAACGTAAAGGATTACTTTCGAGAATAGGCCAAACTGTGTCAATTTGAAAGAGTCAGATCATCAGTAGATTTCTGTCCTACCTATATTAGCATATTACACCAATGTCTAATTTGGCGGAAATCACGGTCCGTCAGAACTATATTACTCAAAAGCGTTCAGTAAGCAATTAACCCCAAAATGCCAGTGTTTAGAATCTAAGGCAGACATGCTTACCACAAAGTGTAAGATGAGACAGCACATAATAGTCCAAGAATGACTGCATGCGTCAACAATTTGCATTATAATTTTATAATAATAAAAATAAATTGTACATTTAAGGCCAAAGGAACCCTCTCATTACGAGACATTTGCTGTTTGAAGAGGAGAAGGTTGCTAACAATTTTGAACTAAATTCACTTAAGCGCTTATAATTGTTGCTTTAATATATCCCAAATTTTCTTACAAGAACATTTTTTTAATAATTAAGTTATTGAAAGTTGAATAAGATTATCCGAAACATTAAAAAAACTAGATTTTTTTAAGGCCGGTGGGAAGTTCGCTGACTTAGCAAATACTGATGCAGTATGACAATTATAAGTCCTTAACAACGATGAAACACCGAAGTAATTTGGCTTAAAGGAATTTGGCACATTTTGGTCAGCGCTTAAATAAATTATTATTTTTTTTAAGCAAACGATTTTTCAAAAATATTAGACTTGACAGTTATGGCGCTTCCACTGTCATCAGCCATTCCTTCTCATCCCAAAGTTGTGTACCACCCGAGACCGCAACATTTAACGATTCAACATTAGTATTTTTCAGTTGTTTTCAATGGTTGAAATCTATTAACAAACGCAGAATTTTCTTATAGGAAAAAAATGGAATGTGGCCTCAGAATGTGGTATACGATGGGTCGAATGTGCATGAAGCTTGCAAACATAATTCACGGACATAGGCAGACATTAAATACTCCTAAGGGAAACTATTTAAAAACGTTAAGTTATGTATGGATTTGACTTTAGTATAGGTTTCGACGAAAACATAAAATTACATAAGCAATTGTGATGGTTTGCGGAATAATCTCCAATGCCTGCTTCTACTCTAGATGCATGCAACATAAGAAAATGAATATGCCGTCGATCAGTATTTAAAGTTAGAACGAACAGTGTGCAGGACACTTACGATTTTGTTTCCTTGATTTCGAAAGATCCTGTTTATTTCTTTGTGCAAAAATAACTACGGCCAGAATGAGTAGCAATTTATGGGTTTAGGTCAGAGCAAAATTATGGGTTGGCATACTTGGCCAATGAAAATTCATGCACGTTGTTCTCATCCAATAGGCATAACTTTGAAAATAATTTTTCGATTCAGCCAAAGGCAATTGGATAACTCTTTAAAATGTAAAATGACGCTTTAGTTGGGGAATAACTGATGGACCAGGCCCTTACAAACGGACTGCTGTAGAATGTGATACTTACACTGGAATTTGAACAAAAAATAAATATAAAAAGTTATATGTAACTTTAAAACAAATGCCGTTAGCAGTTAGCCGGCATTTAAGTCATGGTGACCTTTTCAAAACATGCTAGTGTTTGAGGCCTTTACTAAAGCGAAGACTTATCAAGCAAAATATTTCATTTATTTTGCCTGTGGGAGAAACTGAAAAGTTACAGAAAGCAGTTAAAAAGAAGGAGTTGCGAGCACCGAAAACGGGATACATATTTGTAGAAGCTCAGCATCGGAATTATTCACAAGTGACGGCGGCATTTGTGTCCTACAGATAGTATTCCATGCGATTCCACCATAGTTATCTGGAAATATTTCGGTTTCTACGTCGAAATGGAAACTCAAATTTAAATGTATCGCAGCGTCTTCTCCTTAATGTATTTTATTTTAAAAAAAGAAACCCGCCAAATTCCTTAAAAATTGTAACTGTTGTAGCTGCCGCAACATCCACTTTACTGCAAGCCGACAGTGAATGAATACTTCTCTTTAAATGAAGCAGGTTGACGCTGGCAGGCTGGACTAGATGAGCTAGGCTCCGCATTATGCTGCGTTTTGCGCCGCAACTGCCTATGATTTTTCTCACCGATTTTCATGTTTGCAATATATTTACACAGCATATAATTTCCACGCTCAGTACCACCACAAAAACATGCAAGACTGAGAAAATTCACTTACTAGTTCGTTTTTAACGATAAAGATGATAAAAATAATTTACGAGCGCACCCAAAAAGACCGATAAGGAGGCATATGGGGTAGCTTTTCACGACGTATATTGCTAAATCATTATAGTTTGTAAAATAAACATACAGTATTGTATATACTAACTTTTCTTCGAGTATGAAATTTAAAGAAGGCGTAATTTGCTATCAGACAAGTACAAGAAATATTCTTTCATGCATGTTTTCCATAAGCTATAGTTGAATTTATAAAGGCAGTCAAGATCAATGTTAAAAAGGCATACTACTCAAGTAACCAGTTTTTACAATATATACAGTGATCGCCGTTGACCACGTAATTTTCCTTAATTTTTATAAGTTTGATTATTACTCCAATACCAGTGTGAATCTATTTAGTGAAACATAGAAATAATAATGAACGGCATAAGGCCTATTAAGAACTAAAAATAAGTATAGGAATTACTAAGTGTTTGTAAAAGAAATATAAAATTTTCTCGATGATGCCGTGGTTCTAGAGACGTCAAAAAGA